TTGTATGCAGCAACTTCTCCAGGCTCCATTTTATACCCATCGCACTGACATTTCTCCTGTATCTTGGTGTTAGGTTATCTGTACTGTTGACTTCATGTGTGATCTTACCTTTCTGCAAGATGGAAGTTCCATTCAACTTTGGACCCTGATGCCATCTCTTTCATATTTCACCTCAGCTTTTCAGTCTGTTTCCAAAGCCAACTCCTACAGACTGAGCAACCTATTTTAAAAAGGATCGGAGACTAGGTCCTTCACACTTGGAAGAGTGCTACAATTAATGAACCTGAAATTCAGTGGAATCTTTATATAATAATAATATTTAAATCTGTTGAACAAAACTGCTTCCAAGTAATTGTTCATCTTCTGTCTATGTATCTTGAGTGAAAGGATGAAGATACCAGCATATAGCTAGCAATGAAATTACTGCAAATTATGTTATACAAAATCTTTCCAAACCCAGGCTATTTTTTTCATTTTGGCTATACAATATAAAAAATAAGCCTGAAACTAAGAACTATCAACAGCTACATCTTGTACTTAAAAACATATAATAGAATGTAGGATAAGGAGTAATGTCTCAAGTTATCCGTTCTACTACAAACATCAGATGGGACAGAACAATGCTATGAGCTTGATTATCCTGGAAAATGTGTTGTAAAAATCAAAGATAAAATGTGTGCATCAGTCATGTGTGTGTATGGAGGGACGTGACAAGATATCCAATGGTGCCCATTTCCTTTGAGCTCCCCTAACACCTTCAAGGACAGTTTCTCCCTAAATTTCGGGGACATCTCTGGAGACCGATTCAGTGAATCTCACCGGTGCCCCATCTCTCAGTAGCCCAACTCTGCCAATATGCATTGTCGTGTGCTGTTTTCTGTCTTGATCCAGCTGGACCCCAGCCTGTTTGCCAACGAAAGCCACAGTCCCTTGTTCACCAGGGCAACCCCACCATCCCAGTGTCACCCCAAGCTGTGCTTCCCAGTTTGCCAGTACCAGACAGGTTTCTTGTGTGCCAGCTTCTGTCCAGCTACTGGTAACTAAAACAAAATGAACTTTACCATGCAACAGACAACAACTACAACTTTCCAAAATATTAGAATCCCCACGTGGGGGAGGAACCAGCCCCCAAATTGCATACCTTACTTGGATGTACACCTTTCAATCCTAGGGCATTCTTTACATCATTATCATTAATCATCTGATAAAATTAACCATGTGCAAACATTCCCTGTTCAAATCAGGAAAGGTGTGTGATCCTGGTTGGCTTCTGATTGGTACAAGGCCAGTCATGTAGACACTAGATAAACACTACCCTTCTTACTGCTCACCCAATGCTTGGTGAATAATAAATACTCAAGAAAGAATTTATGTGGAAGCCACAGTCCAAAGTAAAAGAAAATCATTAGCATGCTATTTTCAAACATCAGTAGTAAAAGCATCTCAATATTACAACATAAGATTGTTATGGTATCAATACAATATTCTAGATTCATAATTTTTCCCTTCTGGATATGTTTTAAATTTTCACTTACTTCATTAATATTTACTGATTAAGAGGCAGTAAGTTGTGATGATAAGAGTATAAGATAGCAGATAGTATTATTTCTCTTTTTTATTAGTATTTGTTTCCAGTCCACTGCTTAATTAGCTATCAGAAAGTGCTGCCTAACTCTGTACTCCAACTGATACCTTTGTCTGTAGCTCAAGAAAGTTGGACTAGATTTCGTTTATCTCATCTCTAGGAAATGTTCAGAGATCCTGGTCATCTATTATGTGAAGTCACTTCTCAGCTCCAGAGCATCCTTATTGCATTTTTTACCTCTGCATTTCTGAGAGTATAGATTAAAGGGTTTAACATAGGGGCCACCATAGTATAGAAGACAGCAACAGCTTTATCAATTGCCAAAGTGCTCACTGGGCGCAGATACACAAATATGCAGGGCACAAAGAATAAGACAACAACTGTAATGTGAGACAAGCAGGTGGAGAGGGCTTTGCGTCTACCCTCCAAGCTATAGTTCCTCAGAGAGCGCAAGATGATCACATAGGATGCCATCAAGAGGAGGAAGTTCAATAGGCAGATGAAGCCACTGTTGGCAGCAACAAAGAGACCGAGGGTGTGGGTGTCCATGCAGACGAGTTTCAACAGAGGGTACAAGTCGCACATGAAATGGTCGATGACATTGGGGCCACAGAAGGGCAGCCAGGCTGTGAAGAGGATCTGAATGGTTGCATGGACAAAGCCTCCAGCCCAGGCCACTCCCACGAGGAGCACACAGAGCTTGTGGCTCATGATGGTCGTGTAGTGCAGAGGCCTGCAGATGGCCACGTAGCGGTCATAGGCCATCACCGTCAGCAGGATGATCTCGGTAGCACCAAAAATGTGTTCTGCATAGACCTGGGCCATGCAGCCATTAAAGGAAATGGCTTTCTTCTCATGCAGGGAGTCCACAATCAGCTTGGGCACTGAAGAGGAAGAATAAATTGTGTCTATCAAGGAGAGGTGGCTGAGGAAGAAATACATGGGGGAGCTCAGAGCCTGGCTGCTGACGATGGTGACCACGATGAGCAGGTTGCCAGAGAGTGTCACGGTGTACAGCACCAAGAAGACCACAAACACCACCTTCTGTACTTGGGGGCTCTGTGTAAGGCCAATTAAAATGAGTTTGGTCACGTTCCTTTTATTCTCCATGTGACAGTGTGGGTGATAAGAACTGCAGAGACAAATATTTACCCTGGAGCAAAAAGGAAGGTAAAGAAGAACCATGGAAAATCAAATAATCCAAAACTCTGCCTTTTCATTACTCTACCACTTCATGGGTTACTCTTCGTCCTCACAAAACTCTTTTTTTTGGGTACCGGGAATCGAACTCATGACCTTGCACTTGCGAGGCAGGCTGCAGAACCACTGAGATCAATCCCCAGCCCCTCTTCCTGAAACTCTTCACAAATAGAATCCTCAAAACTTCTATTAGTTGACTATCTTATTTTTTTATTTTCCTGATTTCAAAAATATTCTCATAAGACCTAGGACATCTAAAAGAAATGGATTTCGCTTCCTAGGGTCAAAGCACTAAATGCAAAATTCCATTGTAACATCAGTATGATAGAATAGTTGTTAGAAGTAATACTTTTGGAGACTAACAAGCCTTAAAGTGTATGTGTGTGTGTTGTGTGTGTACATTTGTGAAATAATGTGAACTAAAACCATGGAATCATCTGTATAACCTCTTTATAATTAGCCATAGATGCAAAAACTTACTGATAATTACTAGAGAATTAATCTTTGAAGATTATAGGTTTTATATGTATATTTTCATAATCAAATTCAAAATCATACTCTTTGTAGTTTTCCATAGATTTTTTTCCACCTACACTAAAACACATGTACAATATTTCCCTTTGCTTCACATCCTCACTGAGCAGATAGAACTAGAAGACATTGTGTTGAGTGAAATAAGCCAGAGAAAGGCAACAAATACCACATGTTCTTTCTCTCTCAAACGTGGAAGTTTAAGAACATCGATCTGAAAGTGTAGAATACTGATTGCAAGAAGCAGGGATGAGCCAGATGACAGATAAAGGGAGGTCAGAGAAGAGTTGCCAAAATATTACCAAAACATTTGGTACCAGAATAGCAAAGCATTCTGATGTTCCAAAACCCAGGGAGTGACTGTTCTTCACAGTCAGCTGTTATCTATTTTAGGAACATCTAGACAAGTGTAAAGGCTCCAAACATAAAGGAGGGAAAAGCAGAAGAAAACGCCACTACTTTGAATGAGTCAGAGCCTACTGTGTGCACGTGTTGAATTAAAACACTGTAACCCATTAATACATGCAACTATTACATATCAATCAAACATAAAATGCAAAAGGGGCCAGGGATTTCACTCAGTAGCACCACACCTATCTCACAAGCACGAGGTCCTGAGTTCAATCCCCCATGCCACACAAAATAAATAAATAAAAAAAAAATGAAAATACACCAGTACCGGATAGCCATTAAAAGCATTTGTATAGAAGTTTACTAACAAATTAATTAATACTGGTAAATTAATATATTTAGAGCAATTATTTCAGGAAATGATAGAAAGGGTGATATTTCCTTTTGTGTTGTTAGTATTTTCCTAATTTCTCTAGTTTACCTTTCAAATTTTATGATCAGAAAAAATGTAAAATTGCCATGGGGTTTTTTGGAGCCCTAAAACTGAAACCATGACTTTTTTAATTAAGTAAGAGAAATAAACAGAGAAGTTTTACATTACATATCACTGGGCACCCAATTCACAGAGTAGGTGGATATAATTAAAGTAGTGCTGTAATGTGCTCAGAATACTGCTGGGAGCAGTTTACCAGTTGAACATAGGATTAGATTCTGAACAGGCACTAGACCTTCAGTGAAGACAAAGACAGGGATGACATTGCCATGACTGCCGTAGACCGTCCTACATGTCGCTATTAGTCTACCAGCTACAGACAGTGGATCTCTGGTTTTAAATACATTAGTCAGGGCTGGGGATGCAGCTCAGTGGCACAAAGCCCACCTAGCAAGCACAAGGTCCTGAGTTTGATCCCTGGTACTGGAAAACAATTTCATTAGTCAATAAGGTATGTCAAAGCCAGGCATGGTGGTGCACGCCTATAATCCCAGCATGCAGGAGGCTGAGGCAGGAGGATCACTGAGAGTTCAAGGCCAGCCTGAACTACAAAGTGAGTTGAAGGCCAGCCTGAACTGCAGAGTGAGTCGCTGACTCAAAAAAAAACAAAGAAAATGAGGTATGTCGATAGCCATTTAGTCAAATCTGAATACTCAGCCAGAATCCATTTAATACAAAGTCTACTTTTATTAACTTGAATACATGTATCATTCAATTGAACATCAAAATACTATTAAAAGTAAACTTTACCAATGTTAATTCTCACATTTTCTTGGACCTCATATGCCTTTTATACATTGTTATATGTTCTCAAAATGTAAATATCATGAAAAGAAACATGAATTGTCTCTGCTACATGTAGTCATGACACATAATGAGGGACATGGAAACTAAACCGATTCCAGATGATTCCACAAGTGCTTCGTTGAGTAGCTGATCTCAGAGCTCCCAGCCCAGAGTCATGGCCTCCCTTTCCAATAACCCAGTGTACTAGAGAATTCTTCCAGGGACAAGAACTCCTGCGGATAAAATTGAGCACTCTTCTAATTGCCGATCCATCTCTAGGGGAGATAGCTCTTGGGAGAACCAACAATGGACTGCTATGTTTCTGTAACTTCCTGAAGGTTGTCTCAATGGTTAGATTTTATGATCAGAAGCAACAGAAAACCCCAAACTTGGCTCACTCATCTTATTGCACCTGTTAGTTGTGTTTCTTACAAACCGTGAAGTTACCTGAATGTATTTAAAGAACAGATCGTCTATCATTTTTCCCTTCCTGCATTTTTGCATACACTGCACATACACAGAAATACAAAGAACTCAGTCTTGTGCTAAATTTGATGAAGTTGTTGTTAGCTGGCAGAGGAAAGCACAAAATCAGTTTCACCTTGTGTTCTAGTCTTAAGATCAAGGATGGAGCCATTAGAGCTCACATCCATAATACTCATATTTTGGCAGGAAAGAAGGAAAATGCTGGTCTTTCATTTAAGAACCCTAACACTGACAGGCAAGAATCTAAACAACTTCTTCCCCGACAGAAAGCTTTCTTGTAAAAATTCCCCACACTCAAATATTTTTAGTAAAACTTTCAGGGTAACACTGCTTTTCCTCACTCCAGTAATAAGCAGAGACTCACTTTTCTACCCTATATTTATATATAATAAGTTACCACATATTTTATATATAATAATCTTCATTGAGTAGATGGCATATACTTATTATTATCCTAACTGGATTATATGTACATTTCACCCAATCCTCATAAAAATACTAGTGGTTGGAACACTTTTATTTGTACTTTAAACAGAAGTAAGCTGTAACTCAGAGGTAAAGACTTGCTCCAAGACATAAGGAGGAGCTTATTTTCCAACCCAGGCTCTGTCTCTACCTCCTCAGCACAGACTCGGAGCCTCCCCAGTGTAGGTCCAGTTTGGTTCTGAGGATCAGCTGTGCCAGGATTTGGACAAGTGGACTAAAGCCACCACCTGTGACCCCAGGAGCTCCATGGCAGACTTCATGACAAGCTATGAAAAGTTGAGCCTGGTGCTAATGTAAACTTTCATCAGATGTTGCTCTAGAATTGTGGCTCAAAATCCTCAGCTTCCTTCCATCCTATTAATTTATACATGCCTTAAAGATGAAGAAACTGAGGACCAGACAAAGAAATTCTAGGGCACTACACCTAATTGATTAGTGGCACAGAACAAGATAACCCAGGTCTAGGAATTACTAAAAATACCATGGGTTTTTTTAAGAATATGGTTTCTTTTCCACCACCATCTTTGCCTTCCTTGGGAAGCCTTAAAATTAGTATATGCAAAGAAAAATAACCCCAAGAAGACAGAATTAACTTTCAATTCATATTTAGCTATATCTGTTTTTGAAAAAAGAGGGATGAGTCTGACTGGAGAGATGAAGTAATTGAGTCATCCCTGGGACCAAATTCACTGCAGCAGAAACAAACCCATGCTTGGTAAGAACAATTTCTGAGAAAGTTTGATAAATGCAAAATAAACTGTGATGCTTAGCCTGTCCTTTAGTAAGTCTCCCAAACACTGCATGGGGTGCACTCTTTCCTTGCAGATCTTATATTTTAGACCTTTTGGGTCTCAGTTTTACAGCTGAAAGATTCCTTTGTAAAACAGAATTCAAATGTTCTCTCTCTCTCTCACTCACTGAGCTACCTCCCCAGCCCATTGAGCTTTCCTGTTTTGATGGCAGTGAAGTTCATATACCTCATCTCAACTCTCTGTCAATTCTCTTTTTTAAATCTCAGCTTCATCTCCTATTTCCTCCCAACAGTACAAGGTGAGATTTTCCATCTCTTTTATCCCTGGAAATTATCAAAATCAGAGGCTTCTTTCGAGGACGTGAGAGACTCTACATAAACCAATCTCAGGCCACCCAAGCCACCGCATCCTATGTCCTGCTGTGGAGGAAACTCTCAGCAACCTGTCTAGGTATCAAGCTCTCTCCAAGCTGAAAAGCCTAGAAAGTAACTCAGAATTTCATAAACTGTGAACCTTTTCCTGTGAAACTGTAAATATATTCATACTGATACTTTAGAACAACAAATATATCTGAAAGTTATCCAAAAATTTCTGAATGTGATCATTCATTAAATATTATAAATTAATGCTCCAACGATCTTAATTACACACATTGTGGAGAAACATGAAAGTGAAACTGGATTTATAAATCAGAATATCTAGATAACTTACTGTGGGTGCCTCTAGTTGAAGACAGGGTCCATTCTGAGCCAAAATATAAAGCAATTATCTATGTAGCTACTTGAGCAGCATGGTAATGGGGATTTCTCAAATTCCCATCAACCAGACCACAGTGTACAAAGCAGAGTGTCAAGATGGCACTATTTTCTTCAAATAAATTTAGCAAGCATATTTGAAGGAATTCATTTCAGAAAAAGGAAAAAGAAAAAGAACGCACTATGTTAGATTTTAATCTCAAAGTCCTTCGACACTAAAAACAAACTCCTGGTCTGCTGCACCGAAATCTACAGCTATAAAATAAAAGACACAAATATTTATATCACTAAGTACCCCTTCTTATCTGCCCTGAAAATAAGAAAACAGCTTATCTGGGAATCATGGAAGGTGGAGAAGGCACTGAGAACTTTAGTAAAGGACATATCTTCTATCTAAGACTGTGCTCTCCCAGGCATTATTTGGTTTTTTTAAGATATTACTTTAGAAAACATTTTTAGGAGTATTTATCTAAAAGCAATGCATCTTCGCTTGATGAAATCTTTTCCCTATGCTTTCATCTATGAAGAGCCAACATTTCTGGTCTGGAATATTGTGGGATGAAGCCCTGCTCTCCTAAGCCCTTGAGTATCCCGAGCTGGAACATGAAGGACTCTAAATGCTGTGGGACAACAATTTAGGGTTTCACTCAGCTCTTGTATCCCTGAGGAAATTTCCTCACTGCCTGAGGTCATGTGGGAGGTTGAGGTACTGAGTCAATCTCTCAATTGCACCCTAAACCTACTGGGACACATTCTGTCCACAGGAATGAACCTTGGAGCCTGACATACTTTCCACAGAGTAATATCTAAAGCTGGAAAATAAATAAAGACTAAAAGTCTTATATCAGGTTTCCTAGGGTATTAACCTAAACTCTGTTGATTTCCGTGCCTTAATTTTAGAAATTCAACCACATAGTCAATGGAAGAAGCCTCACCTAAGAAGTAGATTTCAAAATCTCTTTCTATATAAATATCATCAGGACAGTGATGACGTGAATAACCAAACATGTTCTGACATCTCCCAAACACACATTTTGGCAATAACTCTGAAGGCCATAAGACACGATGTTGTCTAAACCACAGGCCATAAAAGTTGGAATAGCTGCTATATTTACATGTATGGCTAGGCAATGGATGGTGAACCAGGAAATAATAATAATAATAGCAGCTATTGTTACTGAGCACTGTGCCCTTTATTCTATGTGTATTGCATTAACTGATTTTCTTTTAGTCTATGAATTTCTTTTTGGATTAGAAGTACCTCTTATTGGCACCATACTATTGAGATTTTTTTTTCTATCCAGTCTGCTAATCTGTATCTTTTGACTGGGGAGTTGAGGTCGTTTACATTGACAGTTATTATTGAAAGCTTTTGACTTATCCCTGTCATTGCATTGTTTTTCTTTTTTGATTCCTTTTGTTTCCCTTTTGATTAACTATTCATCCTGCTCATGTATCCATTCCATCAGATTTCAGGCACCATTGGCTTCATTTATTCTTTAATACATTTTTCGTTTATGTGTTGAATTGTTGTGGCTAGCTTTGCTAATTTTTTACTTGATTTTTTTAAACTTCTTGATCAATTAATTTATTGATTCTATTATCTATGTGGTTATAACATCTTTGAGCTAGCCAAGTTTCCTTGCTTCCTCTTTGAACATTTTGTACAGTTCAGCTGTTGGTGTTTGATTCTCTCTTTCTTGATACCCCTTGAAACTGCTTTGGGAGATTTGGGAGTTTTGGGAGGCATTTTATTGCCTTGTTATCTCATGTTTGTATTTGTATATGTGTATGCATGTGTGTGTGCACATGAGTGTGAAACATGCATGCATGCCTGTGGTTAGGGTTGAGGTCAACTGTGTTGAGAAGATATTTGCATTGGTATGAAGATCTCATTAGTTACATTCTGCTTTCCGGTTATGTGAACTAGCAGGCATCAGCCATCTGCTTCCCATCATAGCAGGCAGAGTATTGACACAGCAAATCAATTTGTGCCACAAAGAAGCTCCCTTATTCAACAGTCTATGCCCATATGGCACATTGTTTGTATTTCTCTCAGGTTATTGAAAAATGACCTGACTTATAAATTCCTATGCCAAACACCTACAAATTGAATCATCAATATGTACTATATCACTTCTTTTCTCCAAATTAGCCACTTGGACTTTTTAGACAGAACTTGAAAATCAGAAGTCCATCTTCTCTTCTCTGGTGAAAATGGATCCCCATGTTTTCACACTGAGCCTTTAATCATCACCCACTGTGAAGTGAATTGTGCCCACCTACCGACTTCCAACTCTGTATCATGAAAGCTGCAGTGGTTTACTTTCCATCTTCATGAACAAATGCCTGAGGTTAACAATTTACAGAGGAATGACAAATCTGTTGGGTTGGGTTTGTCAGTAGTCGGAAGAAGATTTTTGTATCTCTGATCATCAGGAATATTGTCCTAAAATTTTCTCTTCTTTTTTTATTCTAGTGTTCTTGTCCAGTTTGGGTATAATACTGGACTCATAAATAATCACTTTACATTTTTTGTAAGAGTTTGAGACTCTTTCTTATTTGGTAAGTGTCTGTGATGATTGAGCTATGAAACCATCTTGTTCCAGGCATTGCTTTCAGAGGAGAATTTAACTACTGACTCAATCTCAAAAAAGAATTAAATTACAAGAAAAGAAGAAAAATTTGTATTACCCCACCTAGGAGGTAGCTAGAGTAGTCAAATTTATATAGGCAAAGAGTAATTCAGTATTCAAATAGCATTTATACGGTATATACAAAACCATAATTTTTTCAAAGAACAGACTGTGAGAGAGGTTGGTGAAAAACTGATGAGTACTGAGAATAGAACTGAAAGCTTTGCTTTGCCTCTTTGACCCTGAAATCAGGAGTATATCTGTTTGGTTCAAAGTAAAGGTTGATAACTATGAAAGGTGATTCCTTGTGAGGTTACAGCCAGTTCTTCAACTCAGGAGCTAAAGGAAAGAAGAATGTAGTTGAGCTTCATGGCCATCTGCAAGGCCCAGAGCTATGTGACCATCATGAGCCGATCCGTGTGTGCCTTCCTGGTGGGGGCCGCTGTGCTCTTAGGCTTTGTTCACAGTGGGATACAGGTTCTACTTATGGTCCAGTTACCATTCTGTGGCCCCAACATCATTGACCACTTCATGTGTGACCTGGTCCCACTCCTGGAGCTGGCTTGCACTGACACTCGCACCCTGGGGCCCCTGATCACTGCCAACAGTGGCTCACTACGTCTGCTCACTTTGTCTCTGCTGGCTGCTTCCTATGTCATCATCCTGCATTCCCTGAGGACATACAGCTCTTCTGGGCGCAACAAAGCCCTGTCCACCTGTGCCTCCCATATCACAGTTGTCGTCTTATTCTTTGTGCCTTGTTCATATCTCTACCTAAGACCCGTGACCTCCTTCCCCACCGACAAAGCTGTGACTGTGTTCTGCACCCTAATAACACCCATGCTGAACCCTTTAATCTACACCCTCAGAAATGAGGAAGTAAAGAGAATTATGAAGAAGCTCTGGGGTCAAATAATGAAAAGGGAAGAAAAATAAATCTTGTGATTTGTGCATTTAGACTAGAGTTATCTAGTGACAATTTATACAGATTGATTCTCTTTCTTAACTAAGCTGAAAGTCGGTATTTCTTTCTCCATGAAATTCTTTGACATATACTAATAGTATATATTGTGGGGTACAGGGTGATATTCTGCACATGTATATGATGTAAACTGATCAAATCGGGCAGTGCTTACCATGTCTTTGTGGTGGGACTCTTATACTCCTCCCTCCTATTTCTTTATAAAATATATAATATATTCTTGTGAACAAGAGCCACCCTACTGTACTATAGAACACTAAAACTTTTCCTCTTCTTTCCTGTCTATTATCTAACCTCCCCTTATTCCCATTCCTCCATAATCCTCCTAGCCTCTGGTGACCACTAGTCTTCTCCCAGCTTCTATGAGATCAACTTTTCGGATGTCCACTGTGGGTAAGAAAATGCAGAATTTGTGTTTCAGAGCCTGGCTTATTTTCCTTATCTGATGTTCATTAACCCCATCCATGTTGTCACAAATGACAGGATTTTGCTCCTTTTATAGCTGAGTGATATTCCGTTGTGTAGATGCACCACATTTTCTTTATGCACTAGTCTCCTGATGGGGGCTTCTGTTTTCATCAGGAGCATGTACAGGGGCCTGGGCTGACATTGAGACACAGGAAAAATAGTGCCAACATCTCATCATGTTTAGGTGCCCCTGTAAGGCTTAATTTCTTTAAAATAAGAAAAAAAAATAAAGGTAATCAAAATCCAACTTATATTATATCCATCTTTATACCAGCATACTCATACAACAACATCATCATCATTATTATTATTATTATTATTATTATTATTATTATTATTATTGTGAGAAAAGGCCCCATAAGGTCAAGAGTACCAAGAGCCTACTGCAGTTACATTACTGCCCTATTTGTGGGTATGAAAGAGGTCAACAGCAAATTCTTGACACCTTTCATGCTCACCACTGCATCCAGAATGAAGCTGTTTTTCAAAAGAGGAAAGACAACTGTATATGAAGGAAATGTCAAACAGTAGGAAAAATCTTCAAGAAGTATGTTCTCCAAAATATCTTTTCTTATCTTCCTAGTTTGACAAGTTTACAAATATTTACCTGCTATAGCAACAGAAAATTTTTGCTCACAATCACACAAAAAGAGCCCTTTTGCAAACTCTCTTATAATGGTATCCGTACCACTCCTTCTGCTGTACAATTATTTACAAAAGGAATTGGGAGAAGAATTGGGCTGGAGCAAAAGAAATACAATCACTGTGCCCTATGGACTGAAGAGTGAAACTATCCAAACATTAAAGCTACATTTGAGACATGAAGAAAGGAATAGAGGGCTCTGACAGTAAAATAGCGATGACAGGAAACTGCACACAATGGAAGCAGAAGTTAGAGTCCCCCTTCCCATCTAATTTCCAGCACTCCTACCATTATAAATGTAAACCAGTTGCTTCACTTCTCTCCCTGATTCCTCATCATAAAAGGCCACATTATGTACTTCCTAAAATCGGGTTGAATTATTTAAACTGACACCGGGGGTCAGTGAAAGAGTTGTGAACAGTGTTCTAACACTGTACACACACCAGGGATGTCACCAGGGCACGAGCGAAGCCAATAAGACTCCTCTGCTCTCCTATTTCTCTTGACCAAAAAAACTATTATGAATTTGATAGTATTCTTCCAATCTCTTTTGAAAAATAACCTTCACATATGCAAACGCACACACATACACACCTAGAGATAATATTGGTGTTTAGTGATTTTTCTATTAATGTCATCATACTAGATATATCATTCTTCAATTTGGCTTTTCATGCAACATTAATTTTTTTGGACTACTCTCTGTTGGTATATAGAGATCTAATTAATTTTTAGCTACTGTACAGATCTAATATTATGTCATATTTTATTGAAGCATTCCTCTCTTTGGTTGTTTTTGTTTTATTAAAAATATTCTATGGTGAATATCATTGTATATAGTTTTATATCATTGTATATAGTTACAAGTACACATACATTAGAGTTTGGCAATAGTAATTTCTGGAAATAGTAACCCTACCATATTTACTATTGCCAGAAATTGCATTAAAAACTTTATAGAGATCATCTCATTTCATTCTCAGGAACAACTTGAAGCACAGATTAGCTTTACCTATTGCCCCTAGCTTTATTGGGGTGCATGGTTAGTACTTTAAAAAAGCAGGAATCCTGCCATTTGACACAACATAGATGGAATCGGAGGACATCGTGCTCAGAAAAATAAGCCAGACACATAAACACAAATGCTGAGTTATCTCACTCTTATGTGAATCTAAGCCATCTATCCTTTACAGACAAGCACAAAAACTTCACAGAGTGTGGGGTCACTTACTCCAGGTCACTGGCAGACTCAGGAGACGAGATCCAGACTCAAGTGCACCTGTCCCCAGGCCAAGCTGCTCCCTCGCCTGCCGCAGCAGCTGCCCTGCTGAGGTCACAGAGCATGAGGAGTAGAAGCCCGGCCAGGAGCACAGTGGCCTGTGATGTGGGCTGTGAGTGAAGGGACTGAGTTAGGCTCGGTAATCACCACTCAGACTAGTGGTGTCAGCAGGGCTTGCTAATTACAGATCTGGATGATGAATCAATAATAATTGACTGTGAGCTTGAAAATGATTATAACTTGATTAATCAATTAACCACATCAGACAACATAGTCTCCATTTATCTAAAATAGGAAATAAAATTTCAGGAGATATAGGCATATCACAAATCCTTATTTTATACAAAAATTATGCAAATCAACTGAAAAGTCTAAGTAAACCATTAAAGTTGATGCACATTAAAAGGTAAATAACATGATGCCTATCTCATAGTACCACAAAAGGCTTTGGTTGCTGCCCTTACCAAAATAAAATTCCTTTTGTCCCTGCTTTGGCACTCATTGTCCACCTGCACTTTCTTATCATGTGGAGAACTTTCTCATGGCGTTTTTCACCTCTTTGTTTCTCAGGGTATAAATGAGTGGGTTCAGCATAGGTGTCAGAATGCCATGAAATACTGCCCTGTTCTTGTCTATGGATAAAGTAGATGATGGATGCATGTAAATAAATATACAGGGCACAAAGAACAAGGCCACCACTGTGAAGTGGGCCCC